GACACGTCTCGCGTCGGGAACTTCACTCAGGGACTCTCAACAAGTGTCCTCAAACGATAAGTCACTTTTTGGCTTATTCCGCTTTTCGCATGGTATCTATTTTTATCAAGTGTACCTAACTATTGTATTCATCACATTCTAGTAGGACAGACATTTTTTAGTGCTTGTTACTTTCTGATAATTAACTTAATTACGTCACAACTAAAGCACTAACTACACACTAACAGGTTCCTTCACAAAAGTTTCACAGGCGGTAGGTTGGCCGCTGAGCTTCGAACTTCCAAGTTGCTGACAGGTCCGTGGACAATGTGCCACAAAACTGGTAGAAATACGGGTGAAAGGAAGAAGGACTTCGCTGCGGAGTACAATTGAACAGACGGGGGAGCAAAACTCTCACATGCATCTTGTTTAGAAAAACTGAATATCCATCTTCTCCTTGAACGCGTCTTCCCAAACTTTCCTGGATATGCATTGACTGTTACTCGAATGCAAGCAAATGCTACAAAGCGACTCCACAAATTCCGCAATAGATCTCACTTTTCGAGAGAGAGAGAGAGAAGGGAAGCGGATTTACGAAGAGACCCTACTCGCATGCCTCATCAGTAGTAACCACCGTTACACGGGTATCACATGGACTCTCAGCCAACTGTTAGAATACTTGATAACTTTTATGTAGTAGTCCTAGTTGTGAAAGGGCGAAAGTTGTTTTTTATGTATTTGGATCTGACTGGAAAGAAAATTCCACCGAAGAAAAAGCGAAGCCAGCTGCCACATATACTGCTTGTGGACTACGATCGTGCCTTTGATATGGTTACTGTGAACTGTCCTACACACATCTGCCCGTCCAGACAACCAGATCAACGATTTGCACGTCAAAATTAAACCTTAGCTGCAAGCGTCCGCATTCGTTGTACCAAGATTGAAATCCATCCGAGAATGTAAATTAGTCTGAAGCATCTCATATCCGGAAAACTTCTGCACGAGTGCACTGTTCATACACAACGTTTTTTCTAGCAATTTTGAATTAACTTCGCAATCTAAATCAGAATAACGTGAGAGGTCGCGGTGAGAAATCTTACAGGGAGACCTGTTTGCAAAATATTCAGAAGACAGTATAGTTATCCATTCAAAAGCTGTTGATTTCAGTGCCCGGGTTGGTGGTAACCAGTTCATCAACTGTCTCCGGCGAGTTCAATGCAACTATGAGTACAGTAAAAACCATATTTTCTAAACTTACACGAATGGTATATACTCACTCACTAGGACATCAGTCTGATTCTGGTAGAATCAATTCCATTATATTATCGTGACACAAATTATACACGCCACAATTATCCGGATCAGTAAAACACGTCAGTTAACAGGGAAACGATGGATGTTGCCTAGGGTTCACAGTCACTATCTGACATCTATACAAGATGGTCCAAGTGGTTAGAGCGCGAGTTTACTGAGCGGAAGGTCCGTGGTTCGGACGCGACCTCTGCCTCTCAACTTTCCCTGTCTAGGCTTGGGCGACCTGGCAGTATCCCAGCCCTCGTGCAACCTTCTGGTGGCATGGCAGCTAGGCGCCGAAAGGGTGCTACAGCTGAACGATCTATTTCAATTTTATTTTTACAAGATTTAGATGTAGCGGATTACTGTACCACTGTGTGTTTGATTCTTTTCAGCAACCTTCAGGACTTGGGGATCTTCAGCAAAGGATTTATGCCACTCTGGCGAGCATGTTATGGAATGCACACAGCGGTCGCTTTCAGTGCCTTGTTAACACTCGATGTGAGTCATTCACTTGGTCTTATCACAGCCCTATAGCATATCTGAGAAGCAGATGGGACGGACTGATCCGGCGCAAGCTGCACACTCTCATAACTTGTAGGTCATTAAGACAAGAGTACGGGATTAAGGCTAGTCGGTTTATCCCATTGCACGAGTCACTTTGTGAGTTTGACCAAACACCCACAAGTCTCTCTCGAGTATCTAGCTGTGATCGTCTCCCAATTTTCTCGGTTTCCGCGTCTTGATAATTCGCCCTGTGTGACAAGTGGAGAACGCACCTAAAGGCTTCTTTGAGTGAATCTGCGTGACTGGGGTACGCAGGGACTACAGTCAATTACACCGTCATACATAATCCGCATCAGTTATCGGCAATTCCGAATTCACCCTAATGAGGATATTCAAATGTGTGGATGCCATTTTATTCCTGCCTCGCTGCTGATCTACTCGGCAATTCCGTTAACTTATTCGGTTTTCAACTCAGTGATGACTGTTCATTCGTCATGACGGTTTTTGTTCTGTATTTGGCTCTAATTTGGAGGCAATGATACTTTGACGAGCCCTTCGGAAGTTGGACCACGTTAGTGGTAACGCTTCAATGAGACCTGAAACAGAGTTAGCAATAATCCAACCGATCACAACACGGTGAACATAACAGTGGAAAGACAGTGTCGATTCCTCCTGTAAATCCATGGCGACCAATGATTGTTTTTCCGATTTGTCTGACTCTTCATAAGCAGCGTGGTTACCATAATGCCATTTCGCCTCCCTGCCAGTGTTTCCCAAGTTTCATTGCTCCCAGGCTGAGGTTTGCTTACCCTCTAGTTAGAAATTTAGTCGCCTGTCCATCTTCGCTTTTATTTCCGTGTGTCTGCGCCAGTGGAAAAGTAGGTGGCGCAAAGATCGAACCCAGGTCTCTTAGGCGACAGACATGCGCGCCATCTGCCCGCCAGCTGGACTTCCTCGGTGGCCCTATTCGTACTACCTCTTACCTGATATTGTTTGTTAGAATCTTGTCTTGAACAAGCCAAAGCACATATTCGATGTTGACACGTAGCAGGTGCTCCTTTGTCATGGTGTCAGCTAAGGACTGCAGTCATATTCAGTTTGTGCCAAACTCATCTGATACCGGTTTTTAAGACGGATTCCGTTTCCTTTTGAATCAGAAATCCCCCACAAACCTGCTGGTTGCCACCCATGCCGTTATCCCTGCACACCACGAATGTACACTACCGACTGGCGTCATCCATACGTTTGCATATCATTTGGTCATTACTCGTCTTTGCTTCCAAAAGACTCTGCCTCCTCACTGTCTCTTTTTCTGCTTCTAACGTGTGCGCTTTTTTTGACTGTAAGTTCTACGTAATTCGTGGTAATTAGTAACCAACTCACCCATGGAACAAGCTGTCAATACGGCACCCACCGCCCACACCCGTCTCTTTCTAGTGCACCGTACCACCTGAATATCAACTGTGTAAAGTCCAATAGGTCCAGTCCTCT